TAAAATTTCCCCAACCCAATACTTACTATGAAAATAGTGCAATTGAAATGACAAAACTGGGGACTAGCAGAGTGGCTCAAATAGTAGAGGGCCTGTTTTACACTCTACTAGCAAGAACAAGACCCGAGTTCCAACTCCAGTACCACACCCTTATACTCAAACAAAAATTAAAACTGCAAAACTAACAGTATTTTCGCAATTTAAAAAAAAAGACTGCAAAACCACATCTCATAGACAAGAGCTACAACAAAGCTAAATGATGAAATAACCACAAGACTTCCCAAAACTAAGAGGGTAGGGACAAACTATAGTAAGACTGTACCAAAAAACAAAAATAAAAAAGACCGTACCATATGAGCATCTTCTTTGTGGGAAGAAACAGACAGCTGATGGGATACAGAACCCCAAGTCACATGTAGGTACTCACTTAAAATGAAGAGGACCAATAGACAAGCGCAGCCAATTTGCTGCTGTACATATTAAATAGAACGGGGTTCAGATAAAAATACATTAAGTAATCAATCAAGCCTCACAAAGGACAAAGGACAGTCCTCCTGACCAACTCTTACCCCACCCTCACCCCAAAGTTCAGGAAAATTAGTCACTGATAGATATACAGGAAAGTCATATATCAGCAACAAACCCCTAGATGACGCCACGTATTAAGTGACAAAGTCATCCTTGGGAGGGCTAGTTCTATTGACAGGTCTTCAAATTAGATAACAAGATTCTACTGACATAAAACAACTGGGTGGTCATGAGGTATTTAGAATAGAAAACATTGTTATTGTGATGATGGTCAGAGTGTCATATTCCATTTATAAAATGAAGTCAGGAAGAGATTATTGACAAAGGCAACATATGAACTTGCCTCTAGCCAAGTCAGCAGCTTATTATTGCCCTTCTCATCTCTCTTAAAATTCTAGATCACAGGTATCTAGTAAAGCATCTGCCAGCTGTTGATTGCTGTGTGCTCAATGAAGCTGGCTTTATAGACTCAATGGATAAGTTACAGGAATGGAGCTATAAGGACTGGGCTAAGCAGATGACAACTATATTACCTGTCTTTTGAAATTCTCCTGAGACCAAGGAATCCTAAGAAATATTTCTGCTAAAAGGGGTATAACACCTAATTCATACATGCACAGAATGTACAAAAAAATTGAGGGCAAAAATACTTTCCAATGTCTAATACCATGCTTGACACATACTTATTGCTCTATTGGCTTGTTATAAAAGCAACAAAAGGGAAAATAAATCTACACTGTAGTTTCCAACTATTTCTAAATTGTACTATGCATCAGAACACTCCAAGTACAATTCTCAGAGACTGTTGAAAATGGGAGAATCAATCTGTTTACCTGTGATTAACTCAGAAAGTCTGTTATACCAGGTACATGGTGCACTCAGTTAAGCTTGGAAAAATAAAGCAATTGATTTGTTTTAGAAAGGGGCACAGATAAAGCACTAATCATTTTCTTTCCTTTCCTGTAACTCATTGCAGGCCTCAGCAACTACAATGGCTACTAAGAGCAAAGGGCACCAGCATCTTCAAAAGAACTTTATTGCAATAGTGAACAGAATCAAGAGATTAATTTATAACTATTGTGCATTTCTGAAACAATTTGTGGACCAAATAAATAAAATAAAATAGATCCAAAGTCTACTTCAATCACCAATATGGCTGTAACAAATCTGAATAGCCCCAATCTCATCTGCAAAATGGTTTCCTGGTACCACCTTCATATGATAGAACGAAGAAATAATACACAAAGTCCTGTGCCTGCAGTGCTTGGCTGGTATAGATGTATCTACACATGTAGATATTTCTACATAACCTAATTAACATTTAGTTACACTACTGAGTATGGAGAAATACATTACTCCATTACATTATGCTCTATACCATTATTTTCCCTTATGATTGGCCTTTATGAACATGTTTCTACATGTAGACAAATACCACTAAATACATGTACTCATCTATAAAGGTACTTATTAGTAATCAGAGGTTCTTTTTTGGTTAACACCATTCTTTGAGTCATCACATAGCCATGCTTTTAACAACTTTTGAAACTTGAAGTTGGAAACAGCTGGATTTGAAAAGTATTACTCCCTTACTTCCTGTAGGTGATTGAGGCAAATATGAATAGCATGTTTGAAAAGTTCCTTAGTATTGACCACTCCATTTCATTTTCCTTGCTGATCTGAGTCTAATGCTGGGAGTGTCTTATACTGGTAAGTCTACCTTTTGTCAATGCCTTAGCCCAAGGATCTTTTATTTCATTCTTCAGTCACAAACACTGAAGAAACAATAAAGGGTGTGAGACAATCATTGTTCTCCACCCAATGGTACAAGGGTAGATTAGGAGGAAATGAAACTGTACCTATCCAAAATAGTCCATTAACAGGAAAATAAAATGGAAGGGGAATGATTCCCAGAGGGAGGGGAGGTTGGAGAGATAATGGAGAGGATGAGTGAGGATAAATAATGTCAAAGTTGTTTACTTGCATATATGAAAATAGAATAAATCCTGTTGAAATTGTTTTAAGAGGGACTAATGGTAAAAAAAAAAAAGTGAGTTTGACTGGAATATAATACATCATACACATTTATGGAAATGTCACAATGAAACCTCCCTTGTAAAACTAATGTATGCAAATACAACAAATTGTAGGGCTGGGAATGTGGCTTAGTTGTAGAACGTTTGCTTAGCATGCATAAAGCTCTGGGTTCGATTCCTCAGTACCACATAAACAGAAAAAGCCAGAAGTGGCACTGTGGTTCAAGTGATAAAGTGCTACCCTTGAGCAAAAAAACCTTAGGGACAGTGCCCAGTCCCTGAGCTCAAATCCCATGACTAGCCAAAACAAATAAAAAACCTGTGAAAAAAAAAAAGTAGTCAAATAAGAAAGCTAGGCTCCATCAAAATCTCGGTAATGCAGATACTGACAGAAATTTCAAGGAGAAATACTTTACATAGAATTGGAAACAAAAAAACTACCTTATCTCTCAATCTCAGAGGCAAGAAAAAGAAAAAAGCTTTTAAGGAAAACAAAGTGCTGGTCTCTCAAAGGAGAGCAACTAGGGCTATAGCAAAATCGTTCTTGTCTCCAGGTGAGAACATTTATTATCATTTAAAAGGGTGTTCTTATCAGTATATATTTTACCTATATATATATATACACACACACACACACACACACACACACACACACACACACATATATATATATATATATATATATATCAGTATATATATTTTACCAATACATGTTTATATACTCTTCATCAAAATGAAACTGTTTTTCCAGACTGAGAATCAGTTTCTAAATGTTTCCAAGCTGTTTATGTTCAATCAATATTAGCCAAGCTTGGTAGATAAACTCTGAAAAAAATAGCTAGATATCCAACCTAATTTAATTTTCCATAGTAGCTCTTTTACAAATAATTGAAGTATTTGAATTAATCTTTGTTAGTATATCAGGAGTATTATACAACCCAGAAGCTTATCATTTACAAGAATTTGTTCTCTTAGTTCAAGTTCCAGAATGGCTTAAAGTCTGGGAATACATTACAATGTTGAACTGAGGCTAGTTTAGAAATAACAAAATTAAAAATCCTTCTACCTTAAAATATATCACTTCACTAGTGATAAAGTAGCTAAAATTTTAAAAATTAACCTTTCAGGTTGCCTAGTATGAAGATTAAATTACAAACCTATAGTTAAAAACATGACAAGTCTATTCATGCTGTGGAAATGTCCCATAAACCTGTCATTTTCACATATGGACAGAAAACAGGAATGATTAGGGAAAAAAATGAGTTATATGTTACACAAATTCAGGGTAATAGCAAGATAAATGAAAATTCGAGAATTATATTTTTTCAGTTTCCATTAGCAATAAGGTTGTCAAATTCAAAGTATCACTAATGTGGAATAACACCGTAAAGAAATGTCTAAGTTTACATCTTATATTCTGGTTCAGTTGTACCAGACTTGTGTTCAAAATGTTTAAAAACACCTATCAGTTATGCATTAATGAAAGGAAATCATTCAAATCATGAAAGTTCATTTTGCCTGGAAATTTTTTAAGTACATTCACTTTTGCTGTCAGTGTTAGAATTAAGACCAGGATTATTAATAAAAATCAATTTCAAGCTGGGCACTGGTGGCTCACACCTGGTGGCTCAGAATGCTGAGATTTGAGGATTACGCTTCAACGCCAGCCCAGGCAGGAAAGTTCATGAGATTCTTATCTCCAATTAACCACCCAAAAACCCAGAAGTAGAGCTGTGGTTCACATGGTAGAGAGCTAGCCTTGAGCAGGGACAGTACCAAGGCTCAGGGACAGTGCCCAGGTCCCAGAGTTCAAGTCACAGGACTAGCAGAAAAGAAAAAAGAAAAAAAGTAGTTTCAAGTGAGTTCATGTTAGAGCAGAATGTAAGAATGATGACATAACCAGAAAAGCCAAGGAGAATGCAATGCACACATTGGTTTGGAGATTAAACAGAAAAAAAAGTTGTTAACAGGTATAATGAATATACATTATACTAAAAAATGTTTTCACTTAGTACTACAAAATGTTATTCTAAGGTTTTGGAAGCCTAAAATGGATTTTTCCAGTTGGTATAAAATGTCTTACTCCAAGTCACACATTACAATTTGTACAGTTACATGCATAACCTTACTATGTGCTTGTTTTCCTATGGTGTTTCCTCAAAAGTAAACTATTAAAAATGAATGCAGTGCATTCCAGTAAACAAACTTCACTATTGTTTAATTATTAATTTAAAACATTATTAATTTAAAAAATCCCAAATCTCACTTTGAAAGAAACAAGCTTTCAAGTTACAATAAAATGCATTAAGAAAATCTATTTGAAGCAATTTCTATTAGAGGAAAATTGCCTTATGTTGCCTGAGTCAAAGCTGCTTAAAATTCCAACCATGTACCATCAATTACTGACTGAATTTGAACAGGATAGCAGAAATGATCTGAAGTAAAAAACACAGGAATTTTATTGTTGCAAATAATTTCATAGCATTTGACCAAACTCAGAACTAGTTATTTCAAAAAGGCTGAAAGCTATACAACAAAGCCAACCAGAATAAAGTCTTTATTTAAAAGGAAAAAAAAAAAAAAATCAAACCAAAAGATGGAATTCATTAACAAAATATAAAAATGGAAGCTAAATAACAGGATAAAAATACAGCTAAGAAATTTAAGAAACTTTGATTCTGTTCTTCTAACTTGCTGGTACTGGTTCTTTGTCCTATTATTATATATGCAAAATTGCTCTGATGATGATTTAAGATGGCCTTGCAAGACCTACCAGAAGGTAAAAGGAATTACCAAAAAAGATACCCAAATATTTTATAAATAGTGTTAACAAAAAAATTACTTTTTACTTTTGTCTTTCTTTAGCAAAAATGTCTTTTCAAATCACCTACTTTGTTAACACTGGTTTACTCTCTCACTTAGAGAGATGTAGACTTTCTTTCAAAGTGATACTCCTACAATACTTCACAGTATTGCTGATTAGGCAATAATGGGACTGTCCCACCTAAGCAAAAAAAAAAAAAAACAAAAAACAACCTGTAGTACAACTCAAGTACTGATCCCTCAAATGACATTATATTTTGGTAATCCAGCACTTTTCAAGTGTCGCTTTCAAATCATTCTACTCCAGTGTGAGGTCTCCTATAAGTTGGAGCATAGTTCATTGCTGTAAACAAGTTCAGTGCCATTTGTCTGACTTCATTATTTTTTTCCTTAAGAGAGCTGCTCCAGTGAAGAATCATTTATCTACTATGTCCAGACCCAAAAAGAAACAAAATTTCTCTATGAAAAGTCAAGGGACTACCTACCTATTTCAAGCATGTAATCACACCCAGGAAAACACTGCTAACTAATAAAGGTCTGCTGTCACTCATAGCTCATCAAAAGTGCTGTTCATCTTTGGTAATGCACATTCTTCACTGGTTTGACAACTCTGCAGAATGTCCTTGTAGTGGTTCTTTAGATCCTCATACAAAGAGACAGTCTCCTGTGAGTGAGCCAAGGGTAACACCTTTTCATTCAACAACATCTGTACTTGGAACTCTTCTTTAGGAGTCTTAGCATCCTCACAATGGTAAAGCACAAATATTAGATTGGAGGCATAAGGTACAATGTGGCCACTTCGAAACTTCCGCTGGACTTGTTCCTCATAATTATAAGCTGTTAGGGGTTCCTTGTCTTTGAAGTAGCCCATGAGAGAAAGCAGTGGAAGTAGGGTCTCTGCATGGCCAAACTGGAGGATGACTGGAGAAGAAACTGGCTGAGACCTTAAAAGAAAAATTGAGGGGAAATATATATATTCATATCACAAGACACTATACTTGGTAGTACCCAACTCCCCACAAAGACACTTTAAGTAATTCCATCTTTAAAATCTTTATATTACATAACTCAAGTATGATGGCGAAGACTCTGCATTGTTGAGGATTGCTGTTCCAAGACAGTTTGAGAAAAAAGTTCACAAGCTTTCATCTCTTCTGGGGGTGGGAAGGTGGCTCAGTGGTAGAGCACTTGCCTTGCATGCATGAGGCCCTGGGTTCGATTCCTCAGCACCACATAAGCAAAAAGAAAAAAGAAAAAAGTGGTGTTGTGGCTCAAGTGGTAGAGCGCTAGCCTTGAGCTGAAGAGCTGAGGCCCAGAGTTCAGGCCACACGACAGGACCCAAAAAAAAAATTTTTTTTCATCTCATCATTTTAATAAGCAAGCCAAGCAATAGTCATCATGCCTGTAATCCTAGCTAGGCAAAAGGCTTATGTAGGAGGAAGACAGTCTGAGGCTGTTCTAGGAGGAAAACACAAAACACAAAACTCTATTTGAAAAATAAATGGAGTAAGAAAGGGCTGGAGGAATGGCTCAAGTGACAGAGAGCTTGCATAGCAAATGCAAGGCCCTGAGTTCAAACTCCAGTACTGCCCCACCTAAAAGAAAAGTTCAGTAAATCCTTCAATCATTTCCTCATTTTGAAACCACAGTAGTCACAAAAGGATAATGGCATGATCTATGCTACCTACTATAATGTGCCTGAGATTGGGAGTAAGAGTTTATACAGTACTAGAAATACTAACCACACTCAACATTATGATCTAAGTTATTGTTTTGTTTTGGCCACTTTTTCCAAGTTTTTTCCTAGTAAAAGCTTTATGAAGAACAGTGAATCACTTCCTGGCCTTTCCCAGCTTTTACAGAAAGAGCATGATTTATATCCCTTTTTTGACAGACTGTCAGTATGTAACCTAGCTAGCCCCAGACTTGAACCTGCATGTGCTCTGCCAGGATATATATATATATATATATATATATATATATATATATGTATGTATATATATACATACATATATATATATATATACATACATACATATATATATATATATATATATAAATTTCAGACAACTTTCAAAGGGAAGAAAAACTGACAACTGCTTATAAATGCTATGAACATAATCTTCATATTCAGAACTATGTTTACCATACAAGTTATACCAAAATAAAGAAAATATTTTAAAGGTCTGAATAAATGTGCCAATAAAATAATACAAGGAAAACTAAGATTGCAGGGTCAAAACTAAACTAGCCATTTCTAATGTTGTACTGCTCTCACCTCATATATAGGAAAATACTTGGGTTTCCACAACAGAACAAATACTTTAGGAATTTAAACACTTTAAGTTTACTTTTAACCCAAATCAAATTAGTTTTTATTTGAGGGCAGAAAAACATGTCATCCTACTAGTTCAGGAGGACTGCAGTCGGTGCTTGGTAACCAGTACAGGAATATGAACTGGACAACTTAAAATACACTGTCTTTAACAGCATATAGTTTGGTAAAAAAGTTAGGTGTTGAGTCTTCTCCAAGTATGTACAATAGGCAACAAATAAATTTCTCATGTTTTTAATCTGAAATAATATGCGATCACAATTCCAAAAAGTACCGTCAAACAAGAAAATAGCTATCCATGATGATGAACAGAGACAGATAGAAGTCTTTCTTCAAGAATGTTATCATTAAATCCTCGCTAAAATAAGACCAGCATACCTCTATGATCTAGACCAGCTTCTCTCTTTAGCTACTCCAAGTACTCCTTCTAAAGTATATTCTCCAGTGAGTGATTGACATCTGTTTTTATTCTAGCTGAGAAGAATTGTCTTCTTATCAGAACCCAGTGTTGTGGATTCTGAGATGGCTACTTCTTATTTCCTCTGTATATATGAACTTCCTCTCCTTGCCACAAGCTCTCCATCTTTTTTCCTCCTTCCCCAAGTATAACTACAATCACTTTGGCCATTTCTATTTCAGGGGATTATAGAATAACATAATGGAAAATCTATCAAGTTCACATGATTTAGCATGATCTTTTGCTCTGTGATAGTGCATCACTATAGGTCAAGCATATTTTAAGATAATACAAGCATGAATGTATAATATATAACACATATTTTATATAATCACCTAAATGATTAAGGAATATGTGCAAATCACTCTGAAATATATGTGCACCAATCTTTATTAGACATAGTATAAAATAATTAATTGGCTGCTATCTTTCTTTTTAAAAAAAGTTGCCTATGACAAATTACTGGCTTAATAGAATTGTAAGTATCTGGACTAAAGAAAAAACAAAACAAAAAAAATGGGATTTAAGGATGTAGATTAGTAATAGAATTGTACTTAGCATCCTCAAAGCCCTGGCTCTAATCCCCAGCATGGAAAGGAGGTAGGAAATGTATTAGAAATGTAATTATTTTAAATACTAATTGTTTTGAGTATTTAAATGTTTTGTACAATCTTTTAAATGGCTTTTGTCATTGCAAACAAAACAAGAACAATTCAGTAAATGTGAAAAGGCTTTAAGGGTAAGAAGTGGAATTTAATACTCTTAAAATAAGTTACAACTAAAATTCATGATCCTGCTGAATGAATGCTGGGATTACAGGTTCTGTGCCACCATGTCAGTCTATGTTAATTTTTTTTTCTTTATATAAAAAGTATTTGTATATAATACCTCAGAATATAAACTGCTCAAGACATAAATATTTTTCTTCACTATTTTGTTTTTCCTAGCTGAATTCAACTTAGTTATCATTGGGTAGGGGTAGGGTGAGTTCACATTAAAAATTTAAAAATAATATAAACTTCTTCTTCAAGACTCCAAAAAATAAAATACTATCTAAATAATGGTTTGGGAATGTAAAAATCCAATGAACTTAGCTATCTTTAAATCATATACTCCAAATCCAGAGTCATTTACAACTGAGAATGTCAATATTTTTTCATAACATAAACAAGAATGAGAGGGAAATATATAAACTCATTGTTTGGAATCCAACTGTCAAAATATCAAACTGAGTATATCAATACGTGACTATATAAATAAAATACAAATATATAAAAATGTGTGGAAAGACTATTTTCCTTCCACAGGATGGGTAATCTTTTAAACAGCTGTTCATATTTATACCCGTTTTTCCCTTCTTTAAGACCTTCTCAAATTTCTTGGGTTTTGACAGATTAAAGTAGGATTAAGCATCAAGTGGAAAAACATATCAAGTGTTATTATGTTTGTATTCTCAGTCACAACTGAACAGCAAAAATGGGGAGTCAAATATCTTCAAGTAAAGCAGGCTAAGAAAGCTGTGGAGTTTATGTGTTCACGTATACAAAAGGATTTTTTTTTTAGTGTTTTGTATGATTCTAAATACTCTGATGAAAATATACAGAAATACTTATTATCTAATTTCCAGAGAAGCCATTAAAAGGTGTGTGCTAGTTTTTATAAAGTAAATCAGTAACTTTTATGAAGAGGATGTGGTTCCATTCTAGGCCATGCTGCCCTTTGCTCTAAGTATTACAACTTAAAAGTCTTAGAAAACTTTTAAGCCATCTCCAGGAACTGGTTTACTCTAGTCAGTCTAGGCCTAATCACTATGTAAAGAACAAAATCCCCAATTTCTCCTTGAAAACAGCCCAAAGCTGGCCTGACAATTTTTCTGTGTTTCTTTCCCAACCTTTTCCAAATTACAGCCAGTCTATAATTAGGCTCAATATACTGGCAATAGCAAATGGCAATAAATATATCTAAGTCTGAATGAGAAATTAAGAATATGTCTCACAAGCACACACACATGTACATACAGATAACATATAACATGAGTAAAGGAGAGAACAAAAAGGGAAGGAGTATGAATTGATTCTCAGTTTACACAACTCTTCATATACACACAAACATATATGGGCTCTGCATATAACTGTGCAATAATTTTGCTGAGCATGTAAAAACTGCCATATTCCACTTTCTCTGTGATCTCATGCCACTATCATTCAACAGACACAGTTGTGAAGACTTTAGTCTTTTGGCAGGAAAATAAACAAGTTTTTTAAAAGATAAGGCTCAATAATTTAAGAATCTTACTAAAGGAATGGGACTTCAGATAAACGCACAAATGTATATACACATAGTCTCTCAGGAATTCAGACGCTATAGCTCAATAATGTCCGTGTGTTATAGTATAATATGAAATTCTGAGAATTAATGTGAGTAAAATTCTGTCCAATATTGGCTTTTATCTTTAGAATTACATGCATTCTAGAAATCAAATAATTTTATCCTAATACATTCTATATTTAAAATGTCTATATAGAATTAAATTTACAAACTTTTATTTTTTGTTTTGTGAAAGCTTTAAACAAACTTTTTTTTTGGGGGGGGGGGGGGGTCCGGTCGTGGGGCCTGAACTCTGGGCCTGGGCGCTGTCCCTCAGCTCTTCAGCTCAAGGCTAGTGCTCTACCACTTGAGCCACAGCGCCACTTCCAGCTTTTTTCTTTTTGCTTATGTGGTACTGAGGAATCCAACCCAGGGCCTTGAGCACGCAAAGCAAGCGCTCTACCACTGAGCCACCTTCCCAGTCCCTTTAAACAAACTTTTAATTACCTATAATCCATCCACAAACAGATTGCCAACTAGTGAAATGTCTTCATAACAGGAAATGTCTACATAACAGAAAATTTTCTCAAAACAGGGAATACAAAGGTATAGAATGGCATAATTTTAATTCTGCCCTTTCCTCTAAGATAACTACATTAACTGGTGGTGTCATGTTTTCTAAGTTATAAAACCAAAAAGAAGTACATTTTAACTTAAAAAAAAACTTGGGAAACATCAACTGTTAATACAAATATAAGAAACCAAATGTATATATGTGTATTAATTTCTTTACAGAAACACACAGAAAGAATCATGTTTTAGGGTTGTGAAATTGGTAAATCTAG